TAGGTAGAGTTTCCGGCGATTTGTACAACTCCAAGAACTCGGACAGAACCGCACGGAACTCATCAGTAACGTCGGGATCATAAAGGAGTGGGCTAGTTGAGGGGACGGTCGTAGGCGTTCCGTGGTTCTCACATGTGGTGAGACGGTCGATGAGCTTATGTTCGATCAGATCAACCATGAGGTTAAAGTGTCGGAGGAAGTCCATGCCGATTACGGATTGTGGAAAATCGGCGATGATAAATACCCGGGGTAAGCTGCGGCGAATACAGAGGTTCAGTGTGAGTGAACGCTCGCCGTAGATTTTATTGGGTGCGCGGTACTCGCCGACCAGTGCCACTGTAGAAAGTCGACGAATTTCGGCTGGTCGACGGCGTATGAGGCTGATCTGTGCGCCTGTGTAAACTAGGGAGCGTATCCCGGTATGTCGGTCGGTGACGAAGAACAGAGATATGGTTGTGGCGAGCAGGACACGGTCGTTGCCTGAGCCGGTCGGCTTATCGGTTTCCCGATTTGGGGTTGTAGGTGAACGGTGTAAGGCACCTCTTCGCGGCGTCGCGGTAATGATTGTGATATCAGCAAACCCCATTCGACGGACAGCGTGATCATAGGCGCCTAATGCTACGGCACCTGGTCGAGGAAGGTCACCAGATAGTGTTAAAGCTTAAATCTGTTCTACTAACGCTTTGACACAGTTCAGCGTTGCCCGAGGAGGGCGGTGGTTGTGTTGGATGTAGAATGGATTGGACCGACAATTAATCGGCANCATAAACCCTGTCGACCATTTAAGTTAGTTTTGTTAGTGTGTAGCACTGACAAACATACTGCGGCACAGAAGACAAGCTCTTCAATAGAGCTTGCATCCAAGACAGGCGGAAAGTATTCTCCTCCACTTTCAGGCCGGCGGCCTGATCCTGCATGTAGCTTAGTAGTTTCGTGGGTGTATCAAGACCGTCGTCGTCAAGACAAAGGCCGCCTAGAAGTTGTTCGAGGCGGCGTTCTACGGGCATACCAAGTTTGCCTAGAATCGTATCGCGGAGGGCATCACACGGTCGCTCTGGTGGTTGGTTGCAAACCATGTCGAGCAGACCCCTGACCATAGACCTTGGAAGGTGAACTGCTAACTGGGTAAACCTAGCTCACCGTTTGTTCAACCTAGCTAAGTTAAACCAAGCCTTGACCTGTGCATCCCCAAGTGTAAATTCGGGTATACGAGCTTGTAGACTCAAGACGCTCAATTTATCTGCCAAAGCAATAGCGCCGTTCCCTTGACCTTCGAAAAATTAACAAAACACAATGACTCAGGGGCAAATCCAAGGGGAAAATGGACAATCAAATTAAGATAAAGATGCCCGAACAACAGTGAAACTCAAGGTACTGTTGCAGTAGAAACGAATGAGTAAAAATACGTATCTAACGATTAGTGTGGCTACGAAGTGCGGATATCCGAATATGTAGGATTTTGGAAGCAAAAGTTGATTTAACGGTGAAAGATTGACAAATATAGTAAAACCGTTAAAATATGAAAATGAACAACAACAAACAAATGTCAAATACCAAAAGTAAAAGGGATTGTTGTGCATGTGCACCGGAGTCACTGACAACTTTCAGCCCATTGCGTGCTGGAAGAAAGCAGGTTGAACAAAATCACGTCGGGTTCACCAATTTAGCACCTAGGACGGGATGAGAAACGACGTGTTCACTAATTATATCGATCGGGCGTATCACGAGGTCTTCCTAAGGAGAGACCGGATTGAAAACAAAGTCAGGTACGAGCTTTAGTAGTGTAATGTGACCTGCAGCGGAAAGGTGTACAGAAAGCCAAGTGCAAGATACAACTCAGGAAATTGTGTCATATTCGAGGTCATATACGATCTCGTTATAGAAGGCAATAAAACAAAATAGGGCTTTTAAATGATTCAGGGAAAGGACGTTGAAAAGTGAAAATACTGTTCCTAAAGACCTTTAAAAGGGACTTATAGGACTAGGGGCAAACAGCCTGTTTACCCAGGCATCGCTCTAGTCCACAAGGGACATCGTTTGAAGCATATGAAACTCAGTACCCGACTCAACATTAGGTACAACTTCTTCATGAGTTGAGTGATTATTGAATGAAACCGACTACCATCTTCACTGTTGAACTGTAGGTCGGTCGATGAGTTCAAACGGCAACTAGATTGAGCATAGATCAGTCTCTATCAAGAGATTTTATAGTGTGCCTATTATTAACGGTAGGTGTTCCATGCTTTCTGCTTTTGATTGTCCTCCTTTTGAAGCGAGGCTATTCTGGATGAAAAAGTCGCGTTTTGTCAAACAGTCAGCCTGAACTTGAAGCTCCCAAAAACCTTTCATTTCGGCTAGAGCAAGAATCTCGTTGTTCCGTTGGCGAAAGCCTTTACCGTCCTGTGCAACCTTGACGGTACGTTTGAAATCGGTTGTATTCCTCGCTGTTCTTGCTATTGTTGGTAAATTTTTTGTTATTATCAGTTAAACACAAACCAGTTTATTGGTTTACGTTAACAATCAGTGCTATTTAGAGAGGCACCGTTAAACGTTACCTACATAAGTAAACGCTGACCTCGCTCTACCTACCAGTACTCTAAAAATAAATTTCCAAATGTTTCATAGTTTGTCGATTAGCTTACTTAACTGTCAATCACTAACCCCGTTTATACGTATTATTCATTACCAATGCCACATGTCTTCCATCCATGTCTGGGGGTAAAGTGCGGAAAACGAGTTGTGAAGTGCATACACTGTGACACCTGCAGCCGTGTGGCCCATCCCAAATGTTCGGGAATACTCAAGTGTCACTACAACTTCTACTGCGGAAACAGAGAAGTTGAATGGGCCACTGCAACGAAGCAGCGCGCCCAGCTTTGACGGCTCATCAAGCCGAAATACACGACAAGAGTACTGCGATTATCACCGAGCAACCGCGAAAGCTCAATCGGACGTCCCCACATAAATACCTGAGGGGCAACACAAGCCCTTGCAAAAAGAGATAAAACAGTCAGCTGCTAGACCAATGAAACAGCAAACGACCATAACGTTGGGGACCACAGATACAAAGAGTAAACCCGAAAAGGCCCCCCGGGTAAACGCATTACCTACGGAAGAGGCCTCAAAACTAAAACGGCGCAGCCTCCTTACCCCACCGACATATGCTTTTGTCTTAAGCCCCCCTAACCCCAGAAACCTTTGGGTTGGGCACGCCTCCAACAGTAGTGAGGTGCATACGCACCACCGTTATGAGTCCTCCAGATCCAAAGCCAAGGCAGGTCGTAAAACAAGATATAATAAGTTTGACGGACAGACACGCACCGTTTGCAGAGTTAAAAAGTAAAATGCTGAAGCCCTGGTTCACAGCCAAAGTTCTTAAGGTGTTACCGAAACGCAATGCCACCTGGGCAGATACACAGTGCTAGAAGCATTTGCTAACTAAATACAGTACACAAGACAAAGAAATTAAGCAGTCAGCATGTGGAGATCAGCCCAAAGTCACTGTGCAAGAAAATTCGCAAGGGACATGACGACACAGCCAAAGGAAGTTTTATAGCTACGTCCAAACGCATGCTTGATCCCGTTAGGTCATAGGTTTGCTTATGCCTTTAGGGACAACAACCCTAGATACGGACCAAGGTATTGCAAATACATTCTGAGATCACTTCTAGGCAATCTTCCGAGGAGGGACGGTTGTGAACAACTTTTTAGACATAACAGACACTTTATGGGCAAAAATATCTCTCTCCAACAGGCATTCCCTGTTGTTAGGAGTCATCTATCGCTTGTCAACCAGCGACCATACACAGGCACAGGCCCTTCGAAACCAACTTCGCTACCTTTGATCTTGTTGTCCCTCGACACATGTCCTGATAACCGGTGATTTTAACGCTCCAGCCATTGACTTGGTTAGGACAAACACCAGTGATACCTTCCTTGGTCAGCCCCTTCTAGACCTAACTACTGAGCGTTCATG